ATCTCTAATTCTGAAGTGCCGGCGTCTCTTTTTAGGTGAGTGTATAGATAGATGGCTGCTGTGCGACCAGCCAGCCCGAATGCAAGAGCGAAGTCGGCTCCTGTTCCTTGCGGGCAGAGCCCCTGCCTCCCATTTTCAGTGGGCTTAGATAATGGAAACGGCTAGATTTTTTTTGGCTACTTAAATAACAGTAATTGTTAAACTAATTTTGCCTGACTCCATGCAGCCTTTAGAAAATGGCCGTTAATCTCTGGTTTTGTGGCAAGCTGTACCAGACCACCACACACCTCTCTAAGGTTCCCTTGCTGCGTGCAAGGCACTTTCCAGGCAGTCGAAGATGCACTGCTCCTTTTCTGTCTGAGCTTCCCAGATTCTGGGACAAATATGTCAAGTAAAGCTATTTTAATCAATCCAAATTCCCTTTTTGGAAGCCATCCAAGGCAGCACTCTCTACACTTAGCATTGCACAGTTGAGATTGATTTTTCATTCTTCTCCTCTTTCCATGGACTAATATATCCATTCCCTTTTGCCAAGGAACTTCATAGCAGTAAATCACAGCAGAAGCAGTGTGTTCAACGGGAGGTGAATTTGAGGAAGCCTCTTCAAATTTAGTAAAAAACTAAGCATGCCATGTCTTTAGCATCCTGTTGATAATTTGATATGGACAAGCGTGCAATAACATGCCTACAGTATTGCAGCCTGGATCTTGAAGGCTCTACATCCCTGTATAACGTAGAAAGCCTGCAGCAATGTGAATACTAACTACATGAGATGGCAGCAGTTCTTGAACTTCACACCACAAGGAATGGACCTGCTGGGTGGATATTAGCCATCTGTGGGTTGCACTTTGAAAGTGCCTATTATAGGCTGAAGTCTCTCAGAAAAACCATAGGTGGCTTTAGGTCTGCATTTGCAAAAGCACTCATCTAAGAGTAGGTGCTTCAGCTAAATATCCTTGGTAAATAGCATCTGCTCTACTTGACAGAAAAGGGACTTAAAAGCTAGAATCTGAGGTGATGGTGATGGTCAGCCTTCCAGGTTCAGGAAAAACTGCAGAGGATGCACAGACCGCATGCAACATCAAATTTTGCTGGTATGCATTTTATCTAAGCCAAACCATGCCTTCAGAGGAACTTCCCTGTGCTTCATTTTGTAATTTCCACTGCCTCCTGCTCCCCTTCCTTGGTTAAAAGTCAAAAACCAGTTAGGTCGATTCTTGCTATTGAAAACCCAGGCAAAATTAACATGTTGGTAATGGCCCATTGCACATAAAAACCTAGCGAAAGTACTCCACAGCTTCAAGGCTTTATATAAAATAAATTGGATGCAGGCGCATCCTTCACCATCCTCTTAAGCCTGCCATCTGTGCAGACTAAAAATAAAGCAGCAGCTTAAGGAGAGGTTTGATAAAATGCATCCGAGAAATGCATTGGTAAAGCTCTGCCAGACTCTTGAAATGACTTTGAGACGCTAACCCTGCACGCTGCAGAGAGGCTCTTCGTAGCCCTCGTTATTCAGCCAGCCTCTACATGACCTGCTCGATGGGTAGGGCACTCCATCATTGTAAGCGAGACACTGGCTGGTGATGTCGCGTGGCCCAAGAGCGCCCTTCTCCATGAGAGCAAAGTTGCTGCCAAAACTGGCAGGAAAGGCAGATCTAATTCAGCCAACTTATTCACAGGGAGTAAAAAGGCAGCAATTAGCTACCTACAATTAACATAAGATCCTCAGGCACAAAGTGGGAATAATGAATGCATGTAGGGAAGCACCATCAGTTTGTGTGACATGAAACTTTCCATCCCCTCCATCAACAGCTGCTTGTGCCCTGCAGCTGGGGATTTCGGCCAGTGGGATTTAAGGTGGTGGCAGTTTCTGCCACACCAAGGTGGCAATGCAGGATGACAGTCGGGGTATCTCATGTTGCTCTACCTCTTATGTAACTTTTCAAACGATGTCCTTCCCTCACTGTTGCTAGCAATTACTACAGAACAGACAAATGAAATGTTGTAAGATACTATAAAATATTTATATATAAAAATACTTTGAGTGTTCTTACTATCTGCTTAATTATAATTAATTTAGAAGAATGACACTCAGAAGTGTAAAATCCTCAATTGATTAGACAGCAAATAAAATTGGTGCTGCTGCTGCCTTCCGTCAGCTGAAGCCCCAGCAGGCTCAGGAGTGACAATGGGATTGCATTAAGCAGCAATTCAATGAATTCACATGATGAATTCAAGGTGCCAGGAAAATAAATGGCTCAGCCGAAGTCTGACAGTGAATCAGTAAGAAAGACATCCATTAACAGAAATTAACGGGCTTGCTTGCTGCTTGTATTAGTTACCCATGAGGAGGGCTGAGCCAGCCCTTTTAATGGTAAATGCAGATAGTTTGGGGTGTTTTTCTTCTAGCAGCAGTTCAGAAAACTTGAGCAATTGCTGCTGATGAATAAGCATGATCTTAAAACTTCAGGACTTGACTACATCTAATCTCATAGTAGCAACAGTACAGTTGTAGCACTACTACCTAAGTATATTTGACAAGATATTAAATCAATCTGGTATAGGAAATCCTGCCATGCTGTGATAGTGAGATTAGTAGTTTAAATTAGAGATGAAACTTTCTCCATTAGGTGAGGCAATCCATGAATAAGCTCCCAAGGGTTAATACCATAATATTGCTGACAGCGTCACCTAATTCCATCTTCCAGTAACTCAATTCCTCCCCATCTTACTCTCTGACACAGGAGGGGGACACAGGACTGCGGTATTTTCCCCACGATGCTGTTTATGAAGATCACTCGCAGTGAGTGCGTGCACTCTCCATTTCTTCTTTCACTCTGAGCTTTTCCCTCCCTGCTAGAAGCCGAGGCAACCTCCTCAGGGGCCATTCCCCTTTCCCGCCGTTGGGTCAAGCCCAGGGAGGGCTCAGGGGCTGCCGCTCGTCGCCCACACCAGCCCCCTCAAATCTGCCTTTAGCAGTGTAAAGCTTTAATAACCCCACCTCCCGCCCCTCTAGCGCAGACAGCCTACCTGGACGCGCACGCTTCCCTCTCGAGTCGTGTGTTTTGACATTATCTGCTAAAGCAACGGCTCTTGCTTACTGTATCTTAGGACTCGCGGCAGTGGGCTCTGGACTTCCTGTTAATATAGTAGCATTAAAGAAAAATTAGAAAAAGGGTGTTAGGATTTTCTTTCTTAGCATTTCCAGCACTGCATCGTCAACTATCAGATTCTCAGAAAAATTCAGGATTAGAAACAGTCAAATATGGGTGTGCTTAGACAGCAAGGCAGAAGGCCCTTCTGCAGCCGAGGCTTACGGGAGCGAAGCTTTGGGAAGCACCTGACCTGAGGATCCCTGTCATGAACAAGAGCAGAACAGCTTCCAAGTGATGTAAACGTTTATTTGACTGTAACTGATAGCTGTGTTTTCAAGAGCACTCAATGCCCTGCAGCCATCAATATTCCCAAAAGCAACTCCCCTCACCAAAACCACAGCTCACCGGTATTTGTAACAACAGTAACAGATGCATAAGACAGAATCAGGATTTGTTTTAAGATGTTTAAAATAATTCTTTTTAAAAAAAGCATTTCTCCTTTAAGTTCACCCAAAGTCTAATTTTGATCTAAATATTTCCACATGTAAAAGACAAAGGAAGTGCGTTTCTGAGGAAGGCAGCAGCAACCTAGAAGACTGTAGGTGCCCTTCATGACAGCCCCAAGCATCACAGAGGAAGCTCTCCGTGGGAAGTATGGTTTGTTGTATGTGAGCTGGTCCCAGATAAGCTTGAGACAAGATGAACTATCTGTAACAGACTGAGAAAGCAAATTTAAAAATACAAAAATATTCCATGCAAATGGTTCAAAAAGTTTATTGAATATTTAATTTACAAAAATCATATCCCTATGAGGTGTTCTATGCAAAATTGGATAAAATAAATTGCATATAAAACCCAACCCTAGTAATGCAAATACAACACAGAAATGAGACCATGGAAAAAAAAAATAATCATGACACATATGACATTCATTAAGGATTGTCCCAACCATCCAAGAATTGGTTTAACATGATGCCTTTTTTGTAGATAATACATTTTACCATTTCATATGGGTTTTGTATATTCTGTTGGTCCAAATTTACAGTTTATAAAAATTCTTTGCATTCTTTCTTAGCTACTACACCAGTTCTGCCACTCCCATTTTGATCAGAAGGTGGAAACAGACAGTACATACACTGAACACATGCACCTATTAGATGCAACTTGCTATCTTTGGTAGGGACCCTAAATCTGCAGTGAAGTCAGCTTTCTAGAACTACAGAATTTTAGTTTTGGCAAAGAACAGGTTTAGTTTTGTTACTGAGTAGAATGTTACTGGCAGTTTCCTCTCATATGGTTTAAAAATTGAGATCGTTTATATGGGTTTTAAATCTAATCACTTGCATTAACATTCCTTGACTCAAATACGGTTACACGAAATGTCCGCTGCACAGCAGGCCACTCCCTGTATGAGCAAAGGATGTACTGCACACAACACAACTGCAATTCCATCCCGCTCTTTTTCTCCCCTTTAAAGCAATGAGGCTATTCCTGCAGGCAGTCACACAGTCACACAGGAGGCCAGTTCCCCTTTGAACAAGTAGGAATCTCACCAGGTGACTCAACACTTACGTAGTAACTTCTTCAAGTTTTCATGGGAAAGAGGGGGGGGCGGGTAACACAAACACAAAAAGTAAAGAAATTGGGGACAATCACTGCTGGAGTGTGTTTGCAGCCCTCCTCTGTGATAACATAGACAGAAGAGCAGGGGAAAACAAATAATGCAAGAGCCAAGGAACTTCACTTTAAAAGAGAAGGAAAAAGTAACCAGACTGTTTCCTTCGTAACAATATTCCATAAATACTGGACAGTATTTTATTAACTGCCATTTGCTGCAACTTTCAAGCATTCTCTTTGCTTTTTCACACACTATTTGGAAAAGAAAAGAAAAAACTTATGCACTGCTCTAGTCCTCCCCACTCCTGCTTAGTGGAAAGGCAAATAACCTGCATAGCCATGATTTTCTTAGCTGAAAACATTTAGTGGAAGACTAACTAGACTTAAACGCTAAGTATATCTGCTCACTTACTTATGAGTAAAACATGCAATATTATGACAGACAGCTAACTGTCCTTGAAAAGGCTTTTTCTGACAATTGCTAATTTGGCAGAGAAGAAATGTTTCCAAATGGATGAAAATCATTTTAAGAGCCTTAGTGAAGAACACAGTAGTTACAATATATTAGCGATTTCTGTGGCATAAACATTTTAAAAAGCATCAGCAAAGTATTAAATATAAAAGCAATATGTATATACCCCTCCATCCTCAGAAAAGCATCATGATTTGTAGTGTATTAAGTCAGATTTATTGACTGGGGAATTAAGGCATAACCAGTAGACAATAGTCTTTATTGTCTCAGCTCCACGTAATTCGCAGGGAACAACCCGTATCGGCCTTTGCAGACACCCCTCCACCAGCCGTCATCGATCATTTCTATATTTGTGATGATGTCATCTGGGTCAAAGGAAATCTCGTCATCACCCGCTGGAGAGAGAGTTGAAGAGGCTCAGTATTCACACAGGAGCAGTCCACACTACAATCTCACCTAGCAACGCACCATCGTTAAAAATAACACAGACAGCCATCACCTTCCTCTCTCCCATCAGGGCACCGGGCAATGACAATCTGTAAAGACGGACGCTTTCTCATCCTCTGGAGCAATGAGGTAGTTGGTCCTCATCTACTGCATTTTGGGTGCATTTCTAACTTAGAGCAGCAATTGCCACCTAACACACCAAGAACCACTTTCTTGATCTCTCCTCAGAATTAACCAGTCAAGACTTTAAACAACTACACATGCCAAGGGCTTATCAAGAGTGTTAACACTTGGTTAGAAAAGATTTTGAAAACTCTCACCATTTCCAGTATCAGTGGCTAGAAGTCTTCAAAAGTATCTCAATGCTATTGCTAAATCACTGAATTCCTAATTCTTTGCATCTTAATTTCATATATTACTACAAGACGAAAGGCAAAGGAAAAACCAGGCTTATCTGTGCAGAGTTTTCAAAGACATGGTTAAAAACCAAGAGCTTTGCTTACCAGCTTGATAATCATAAAGGGCTATGGCTGTAATTCCAAGTTCATTTTCATATTCATCATAAGCATTTTCTTCTAAAGAAAGAGAGAGGGAAAAACAAATTAAAAGCACGAAGCACACTACCTATCCATCACCCCGAGTTCTTTTCTATGGTGCTTCTCCTTTAATTCTACTGCTAACCCACACAAGAAGCAGGGAACAAACTATGCAAGTTTCTAGCAGTGCTGACATACCTTCTGAAATGGATTTTTTTCCCTAAGTCACACACAATTAAAGCCTGAAAGGAAGCACTCACAAGTAGGCATTTAATACAGTATAAAATAAAAACCATCAGCCCTATAACACTTTTGTAAAATGTGACAAAACAACTGAGCCCAAGATCACTGTGTAAGAGACCATTTACTACTTTGTTAAGGGTACATGTTGGGTGGGGGGAGGAAGGGCCCTGTTTAAAATTTCCAGGCTTTCATATCAGAGCAAGCAGGTTCTTCACCCCTCATTTAGTAATCAGAAGAGATGAGAAAAATGGGAATTTCAGTTTCATTAGTTTCCGACACCTTTACTCCGTTCCCTCATGAATCTCAAAGTCCAAGAACTCTTGACAGAATTTTTGCATGTTAAGCCAGTGCTGGCTCAACACACATTTAATCTCCATATCTGTGCTTTCTTCTGAAGTTGAGCTGCATTACACAGGATGGAAATGGTTACCCCTACATTTCTATTTGAACTGACACTCTAGAGAGCATTGTAATTATTCTAAAACCATCTCACAGAAGTTAAGTAATTTCAACCTTGCCCTAGCCATATCTTAATTTCCTAATTGATGTTTGTTGGAGAAGAATCTAGAAAGTCTCATCAGACTAAAACTTTCGAAAACTAGGACAGCTTGCTATCAGCACAGCTATGCATTAAGTCACTGCCCAAGGAAATAATCTTTGTCTTAAAGGGTTTCATATCAGAAACAAACACTCTACCTGCTTGGTAATGGTCTCCTGCCCCTGCCACTTCATAGACAGTCTCCGGTTCATATTCTGCCTCTCGCTGACTCACAGCTTCTTGGTAGTCCGACTCTGCAGCTTTGTATCCGGCCTCTGGCTCACGTGCAGCTGAGTATGTTGCACTGGAATTCTTGTAGGCAGACTCTGCTTCATAGGAAACTGCGTCCTGCAGAAATACGGTGAGGTTCGTCAGGGTTTTGTAAAAAAAGGTTCCTACACTTAGGATCAAAAACCAGGTACTGAAAGTGATTCTAACAAACCTCGTAGAGTGGGCTTGAGGGTGCCTTCTGCTCAGCCAGCTGTGTGGTAGGAGATGGTGGTGGAGTTTGTTTTTTGGCTTTAGCTTGTTCCTAAATTGAAGGGCAAGAAAAACTTCAGTGCAGTTTAATCACCAGTGTCATGACACCGAACAAGAAATGATCTTCCATTAAGACAGACAGACAGCATATTCTGCAATGAACTGATGTGAGCACAAAACTGAAGAGGATGGAACCGGCTGGATCGTTAGACCTGCCTGAAGGTTTAGACTGGCTGTACAGTAAAGCCCCAGAAATACAGCAAAGCAGAAGAGAAAAAAGTGAAGAAACAGAAAACACATAGTATGTGTGCATACATGTGTTTAAAAACAGAGTACCCAATGTTCTTTGGCACACTTCCATAGGAGCTGCAGGGTTTCTATGTTCAATAAATTCATTCAGTTCATTAGGCTGGCTGGGCCTCATGTCCCATTTTAGCACAAGTTTAGAGAACCTGGAGCCTGCATGTTCTAATTATACAACTGATTTATTATCTTTGATGAGAAACAATCCTGCAAGCTCTTGCAGGTCTGCAAAACACCTGTCAAGGCAAAAGACTGAATAGCTCGGGCAAAATTAAGTCCTATATACCGACAATGAGGGGATTCAAACGTTCCCAAGAGTTATATGTGGTAGAAATAAAAGCAGTATTGCTATTGTATTCTGCAAGACAAAGAACGGGGATCTGAATGAAGTGTTCTGGCACTCAAGCGCTTCACGCTGTGCCATCCCACCGGTGATTCAGAGGGCAAATCCACAATCATCATTAGAAAGCCATTCATTAGGAAGCCAGGATACCATAGAGCAAGAAACACTACATTGCTTGCATGACTTAAAAAAAGACTATAAGCTAGCTACTTCATTTTGCCTCTCTTTACCATAGGGAAAAAGAAAACTGTGGATCTAGGGCCAAACTTTTTTCTTTATTGCAAAAAATAAGAGAGAATAAATATTATGGGAGACTGCACACTCCAGTAGTTTAGGTCCATCAGGCTGTGACTCCCCAAAGGATCCCAGGAGAAAGTGTAGTCCAGAGATGAAGCGATAGGACTCTGCTAGGAAAAAATTCTTCCTTTCCTTTGTCACAGCTCAGAAAAAATACATCTAACAAAGCAAGCAAAGCGTGTCTTGAGAACGGAGCCAGTTTTGAAGACAAATTGAAGTTAATGCTGTGCTTTCTGGAAAAAAATCTGTCCTGAGGCGAACGGTCCTCTCCCACTTTAAACTCCTGTGCTACATTTAAAAAAGCACAGCAAAGCGTTTATTACAAGTCAAATCTAAGTTTGGGGACAAATTAAGTAGTATCAAACCATTAACAATGTCCAACACGGGAACAATTTGAATGATTTGTCCCAGGAAACAGATCTGCAATCCAGCCTACAGTTTGGGATAGCCACAGCATAACTGCCATAAAACATTTAAATTGAATGTCCCCCCTCAGGCTAGGTTTCTTTCACACTGGAACGCTCCATGTGAAAGAGCGTCCTACCTTGATTCTCTAAGGTAGCAGAGGCTAACTAAATTGTGAGGCACCCGTCAATTCAAACCAGCAGTTAAAGAAGAGCTCCCTGCACACCATTTGTGACTTATGTGAAAAGCAAAACAGAAAAAGGATTACCAGTAAACAGGGCTCTTGAAGGAATGCAGTCCATATGTACATTCCCATTGTGGGAGTACATATGCCCACATACTTCCTTAAAGTGAGAGAACTCTCTGTCTGTGCAAGGAAGTTCACTTCAAGAAATAAAGTTCACTTAAGTCAAGGTCCATCCCCACCCTTTACAGCATCTGTGGATGGTGTGCTTACATCCCTCCCCTTTTCATGCTCAGGTTGTGATCAAGGGGCAGTGCTGCCAGTGCTGTTTCAGCTTCCCCTTAACCTCATCCTCCCTCCCTCAGTGTCTGCAGAATCACACAATTAACCATGGAGATGTTCAGTCTAGAAGAACATTAATCATCTGGTTACAGTGAAATTTAAATACCAGCTTTCGAAAAAAACTTCAAATGTGTCCAGGCAACAGAATCTTTGATGAAGCATAAGAAAAATCAACCATAATGGCTTGAATTTAACCCACACTTACAGCAAAGATAACAGTAAAGAAACTCATTTTTGAGACGGGGCGGGGGGAGACGTAGCAGTTCAATGACTCATGAGAACCTGTGTTACCCTTCTGGAGAACTTGTTTCCTCAGCAGGAGAAAACCTCAATGAAAAGCTAAAATAGCTAGCAAAAGCCTAATTTCACCACCCTCCATCTACAGATCATACTTATCAGCATATGATCACCCAAAATGAATGGCAAGAGAGCTAATGGAGAAGCTGAACTTCTTCCCCCTCTCGGCCCAGACTACAAACCCATGCAACGGAAGGGAATACTAAGCAAAAAGCCTGACTACTTTGCAAGATACACGTGATCAGTACTTCCTCTTCACTGGTTAAAAAAATGGCTCCAACTGGCTTGGAATAGGAATCGTCTAATAAAGAACCACTGAGCAACTGTAGCATGAAGATTCAAGATTGAGATGAGCAAGACAGTCAAACTGTTCTACAGGTCAGACAGAGAACTGAAGAAGTCACTGAAAGGCAAAGACCCGGTACCAAAATGCACAGGCCACATTGGGACAATGAGAGCCAACAGGATGATGTCCTGCCTTATCCTAACCACAGCGCTTGGCAGCAGAGGTACTTGGAGAAATGCATACACCAGTCCATCTGGCCAATCTCAGGGTCATACCCAAGACCAAGCCTGGACACAAAACCTTCTCTGAAAAAGAAGCATCAATACTTTCTGTGTCAGCTGTGCAACCTTCCAAAAAATTCATACAGCCACCAGAGCAGATTTCCCACTTCTCGCCGAGGACTGCAAGACAGCTCAACTATCAGAGCTGAAGGACTGACACGTATGAACTTCAGAGAGTCCTGTTCTCCCCACACCTATCGCTTAGGGCAACTACTGCCTTGAGGAAACAGAGGATCTCTCCTAAATCGTATTATACCTTCATCATTCATAAGGAGAGCAGGAAAGCTCTGTCCTCCCATTTACAAATGGACCATATCTCCAGAGCACTGGCACATAGCTGCTGCTCCTTGTGAAAATGCAACTGTGCTCCAATGAAATCACACAGTATTTTAGAATATACTGATATCCCTACTTGTCAAGATAGAGGGAACATAAAGGGCATGCCCCTGGAGACATGGCTGCCGCCACATGAAGTACCTCCTTGTACCTTGAGGAACATCAACCTGCTTGTAGCAAAGATGCAGAGCAAAAAACATACATAGAATACAAAAAAGATCAGCATGAGGTATCAGAGTTGCCATATGCCCTAGAAGAGAGACACTTTCATAAGATAGTTGCCCAAGAGGTGAAGCACTGAATTAAGGATAAAGTATCCTGGGATCCTGCAACAAGAGAACTCTTACCATCTGAGAGTTGGTAATTGCTCTGTGACAATGAGTCGTTTTTTATTTCAGAACATACAATTTAAGACCGAGGCGTTCAAGGATGGACTGCACTGTTTACAAGAACTGGTCTTTTGTAGAATCTGGTAGAAACAGCCAAGCCGAAGTAAGGAAGTTAACACTCCTCGGTTGAGGAGTGTTGCCTAGCAAGTGCCACCAGCATCTTGAAGATGACCCAAGAAGCTTCAGACAGGCTAACTGAGAAGTCCTAAAACCACCAGACACCTTGTCTCAGAATGATGCAGAAGTAGTGATGATGGAATGGAGTTACTGACAGGTGAAAATACACACCTCAGAAAAAAATGAAAGAGCGGGATGAATGCTGTGAAAGTCCATTTTTCCTTTGGGACTGATACTTCTTAGCAACTCCTGGCAGTAACTGGAAGCAAGGGCTGTCCAAAGTGATCTCATGGGTGCAGCAACGGCCTTATTAACAATGCAACACTTGTGATATCCATCAACCTTTATCATGGTTCTTCCTTATTTGGAGAACTGTGACAGTATCTGCTGAATTAAATCCTGCGAAGATAACAATGCTACTTGCTGTTAAGTCACCAGTCCTAACGCTATCCAGATCCAATGTGCTGACAGAGGAAAACAAGTGCCAAGAAAACAGAGACCTCCTGAAGGAGTGAAGATGCACTTTCAAGAGCAATGTACACCTCAAGGCTGTCTCCAAGTTGTGTCCAAAGCCAGTATTTGTTCCCATTCTTTGTCACCCCATGGAACAGACCCCAGAGCTGAGACACTACAGCTCTTTTACTAGAGTTGCAGCGTTGGTGGCAAGGACAAGGACTGTGGAGGGTAAGGAATGAAAAATCACTTTGTTAGGGAAACAACTAGGTGTTATACCTAGATACTCATGATGCATAAACACACTGAGACATGATGGGAACAGTGGACAGTTCAGGAGCAGAGACAGGCTGGCAATAGCTAAAGGAGCTATGGGGCTACCAGCTTAACTGCTACACCAGAAGAAGGTGGCGACACATGCTGAAAGCATTTTGCTGTGGCTCTGAATGAGCAGTTGCTGAGGCATTCAACTTTCCTCACGTGAAGAGCTCCCAGAGTAACTGTACAGACTGGATGCATTTCGGCTTTACCGCTCTGCAGAGAGGGGAACCAAGTGACTCTCCTCAAGGCAAATGTTCAGCTTTTCTCTGTGTGGCTCAGTGCTGGAGGCTGATGCCAATGCTGAGAATGACACAGAGCAGTCCAAGTTGACCAACACTCAGAGTGGCACCCTGGAGCAGGCTCGCTGACCTTACCAAATAGGAAAGACTGAATTCTCAACTTCAGCTCTTTACCTCTTCTATTCCCAGCTTTAAGAGAGTGGCAGATGCTGTGTTAAAGGTGTAACATGTTTTTCTCCAGGACAGTAAAGAAACACAAATAGTGGTTGGGGGAAGGTATTACAAGTCCACAGGGATGAAAGGCAGCGTTAGAAGAAATCACTGATACACAAAGATGAACTCCCATTCATCTTGTGATACATGTATGCAGTGAACATATGCTCACACTGTACATCTTGAAGCCATAAGGCAAAAGAGGTGACAAGCTGAAAGAAAAAAGGGAAACAAAAAAGCTGCAATCACTTTAGATGAAGAGACTTGATTTAGCCCATAAAGCTAGAATTTCCTAAATTTCAAAGACAACTCAAAAGGAAGTTAGCAGTTTTCAGAAGTCAAACTATACAGGAGACACATGAGCCATGCAGTTTCAGCACAGCAAAACTAAAGAGCTATCTCAGAAGCAGCACTTGCCTGCACACCTGTGAACAGCAGAGTTGAGAAGCCAAAACATTGAACTGGGCAGGGGAACTGATTTGGGTTAACTAGATGTTTTATTTGTTAGGGTTAATTTTCCACTTTTGTGAGACTATACAGGTGCTTTGCTGGCATAAGGAACAAGGTAGCTCAAAAGTGTTTCCATTAGCAGCCATGCTGGTTTCGGCTAGCTTAGTTAATGTGAAGTAACATGCAGTTTCACTGCAGTGTATTTTCGTCAGTTTAGGAAGATCTGGAGCTAGGTTACTGTAAGACCATCATGCATTTAGTTTTTCATACTTGTAAAACAAATTATTTACACCAAGTCTACATTTGCAACGAATTAGACCATACTGATGGAATGGGATGAATACCACACCCTGACATACTGTAGCAGCATCCTGCTAAGGGGAAGTACCTACCACATCTGAGAAACCAGTCACTGGGTCTGCCGCATTTGTTGTTAAGTAAAGATCTGAGAAACCATCTGATAGTCTTTCCTGGATTCCAGATGTCTCTCAGAGGATGCTGAGACAAGTTCATATGCAGGAAGATTTATTAGTGGGGTCTGCAGCTGGTGGCATACATTGGCCCTAACAATGAAAGATACTTTTGGCAGAAAATAAAAACAAAAGAAGAGAAGGAGAGAAGAAGGAAACAGGAAAACTCCAGGAAATGCAGTGATGAGGTCCCAGACAAGCATTCTCCTCTGGGACGGTCTCTTCAGCATAGCAAGTGGCAATGATGCAGATGGCGAGGATGACCATTGTTCCTGCACTTCTCCTTGAGTACTACACACTTTTCATCAGGACCCACTCAATCTCCTTACTGGCTATTCCTGCTTGGGACACTATTCCACTAGTTGGAGCATGCTGTTTTGGCATCAGTGTTGCATCCTGGTTGGCTGTTAAGTCTCAGGGCATATGTATGGCTAAGTAGCATTTATTCAGAATTTAAAACACTACCATCTTTTTGTGTCCTATGTTTAGTCTTCTCTAGCATAAACTAATACCTGTAACACAGGAAGCGAAGAGGGGGAAGGAGGGACTATTCCTACACCAGCATCAATTGCTTTCCACTCCCTGCCCTAATATCAGGGTTTGTAGGTATGAGGCTATGAAATCAGAATAACAGCATGGGACCATAAAGGAAACTGCCACAGAGGCTCTGGACAAAGACAGCTACAGCAGCTTGCATGAAAAGTTACACAGCTGCAGGCAGCAGGCCCTCAGGATCACTGGTGATAAGGCATCTCGGGCATTGTGTAACGAAACAAATGAACAAGACACGAAGGACAAGTTACTATTAACACACTAGTCTTTCCATCTCAGCAGCACAGTTTCCCCAAATATGCAAATTCAATAAAAGGTAAGATTAGTTTCTGATTAAACATTTCCTGGAATTATTTTGCTTATGAATAACACAAAAATCACAAAGCTTTTAACCATGCCAGTGCTAAACTAATTTTCTTAATTACCAAGCTAAGATTCAGTTAACATTTGGAAGATTATTTCCCCTAACCTCACGGGTGTATGCTATACCAATGGGTGATACTACCTTCCACAATACTTCCACCAATTCCAAAAACCAGCATCACCAACTATCACCCTGGTATTAAACTTGTTCTTCAACAAGCATTCATATAGGGCCTTTTGGGGATCACATGTCTCTCCCCTTATGAGCTCCTCTATGCCCGAGGGAATCTGGTATTGCCAAAAGGCAGAAGTACAGTAGGAAAAGGTCTGCAGAGATTAGTGCTCAAGACTAGCATACTTATTTTGGGATAAGCAAAATAAATAAAAAAATATATGTGGTATTGAGTGTTACCCTATTACCCTATCTGATCTACATACGGTGCATGTTGGTAGATGGCTGGAGTCGCAAACAGGTAAAACACAGACACAAACACAGGCAAACACACAAAGAGCTTTACAGCCTAGCTGAAAAGAAGGAAATTATCAGTTCTTGAAAGATTCTCTTTTCTCCTAACATTGCATTGTACACACCAGACACACTGCTCAAATGGGATTTGAATCTTACTGACCTCCAGCTTCCTTCGAGCCTCTTCCTGTTCTTGTTTCTCCCTGGCCATTCTTTGTGCTCTCTCAGCTTCTGCCTTTCGTCGGTCTTCCTGCTCTTTTTCCTTGGCTAAGTTTTCAAAGTTAGCTCGGATGCTGCTTGTTTTATTAGCAACTGTAACATTTCAAAAAATTAATCAAATGGTTTTGTTTAAGGTTCTGTATACAGGTAGCCTGGAATGAGGTTTTGGTACAAATTTCTGCTAGGATTGAACATGTTTCTGCTTTTCTGCTCTCTGAGCTCACAGCCCATTCAGGAAAGTCTTTCTATCCCTCTTTCTCCTCTCTCCTTCCAAGTCCAAACCTCTTGTGCACCACATTTCTCTTACAAAAAAACCTCCTATAACACTTCTCCCTCCACTCCCTCACGGTACAGTCTCCACCACTCCACTCCCCTACTCAGTCTATTCTCCACTCTGATGCTTTTTATTCTCCCTCCCTCAACTCTGATGACCCTTAAGGGAAAAAGAAAAAAAAAACCCCAAAACCCGCAACAAACTGAAACAACCTCTAAAGGGAGGAGGGAGAGAGTAGTAGAGGTTGCTAGAGACCTGCAGATAGAGCAGTCCTCTCCAGATGGGTTTTACTCCTCACTACTACAACAGTAATATTCTGGGCTTTTGAACATTATTACCTCCAAAGAAAGGATTTGGGGCCAATGCCTTACCAGCTTCTATTGGCTTGGTCTTCTGATAAGTTGATGCTGGTTTCTCAATATCTTCAAAAGTTGCTGCATTCTATCAATAAGGAGAAAAAGAGTAGATTTAAAAACCACAAATTCATTAAGACATTCAGACAGCCTTAATCTGTGACATTTTATTGTTATATTGCTCCTATGGCTTTTTTTTTTATAAGACCAAAACAAACTCAGGAAGAATCAAAATTTGACAAATTTAATAGATCCTTCTGTAAGTCAAACTATATAAGAATTAATCTTCAGCAACAGGTTTAAACACATTAAAATCCTATTAATTAAAAAAAATGTGGTTTATGAACAGATGACTTATCGGAACTAAAAACAAGGCACCGTCCAAAACATTTATTTTGTAGCTGTTGCTGTCCTAATTTACATTATGCAGGATTTCTACCAAGGTAAAAGCATCCAGTTCGCTTAAAGAAGAGATTGTTAGAACAGGGGGATTATTTTGAGAATAGCATTCAAAATACAAGGTTGTTTTTTTTTTTAATGAATGGTCCTGAATCTTGAAGCACGAAGTTGAAAAAAAAAAAATCCTACAGACTTTCAGACTCTGCTACTTTCTCACTTTTAAATGTCCTACATAAAGCTGAGAGTAAATTTATTCAGTAGATAAATCTCAGGGAGGACTTTTTCATCTTCTAGCTTTTTAAATTTAAAAATGGAGAGGTAGAAAGAGGGTATCAGCTGCCCTATCTTTCACTGTTAATAGAATACTAAAATAAATTCTCCTAAAGAGAAGGTCCTTGATAATCAATGTGGGCAAAGTTGGTAGATATCAGACACCTATTTTAAGCAGTCCACTAAAAGGACAACCTCAAGATACAAGGCATGTGTTAGAAGACATGACTGAAATGGTGGAATTAATGGATTTTCTCATTCTTTCATATAAATTTTGCTATTCTTTCATTTCAATGCTTCCGTTTTCCCTACTTAAATATACATATACTGCACATACATATGCACATACCTGTGTGAATAAACTGGCATCAGCTCTGTGTGTATAAACTTGCTTTTTAAAGATTCAGAAAAGCACAGAACTCTACTGTTAGGCTGGAGAAGTATCCAGAAATAAAGAGCTGAACACTACAGATCTAACCAGACTATTTTGTATCCCTACAGACTATTTAAGTCATGGGTCTCTTAAGCAACTTACCTTATCCATCCTATCTTTCTGCACACCATACTTCCCACCAAATCCTTTTGAATAATCTAAAAGCAGGATAAAAAGGTTAGAGTAGAGAGTTTGTTGTCCCTCCCATCTTCCTGCCAAATGCAAATAGCCATTTCAAATGCAGTTAGCCATTTCAGCTGCATGCAGAGATACAGTGACAGCCGCCAAAGAAAATGCAATTTGTTTTTTGATGCAGAAAGGATACACAACTGCAAGAGCCTTCAGGTACACCAGCAGATGACAGATTGTGGGCCACATGCATTCTTTGAGTAAACATTAAGCTGAGGATTGATAAGGTATCAAGCAAGGAATAAGGGATGAGCCCTTCTAATGCATCACTTCTGTAACACAGCCTTTCACAGCACCAATTCTTAGCCCTCTGCAGTAATTATATAATCTAAGCCATTTTGCTTTGCTCAAAGGAGCGATATCCAGTCTTCGGTGACCACAGAGGTGTTTTGTTCTCTTTAACTTGGTAAATTCTATGAATGGCAGGAAAATATAACAAATTTCTAATTCCAGTGGATTTGGTCGTGAACCCAACTGATGAACAGTAAAGCCATTGGTAATAACTCCTGCTCTCCATGTGGAAAGGGGCAATTCCACAAGACAGCACGAGCCTGCAACAACTCACCATCACAGAAATAGGGTGGCCATGCTATTCCGCGCCACCCCTGAGCTACACACTCACTGACTCTAGCACTTGTTATACTCCAAAATCTGTTTAACTCACTAGTGGCATTAACAAGGAAAACAACCACCCTAACAAGAGCAGCTTTCTGCTCTTTCTAGTGAGTTATAATCAGAGAAATGTCTGACGAGCACCAGAGCCAGTGCAACAGAAGCAGCAAGACTGTGTCGCTGGAAAAACACCTCTTTCTGGTGGCAGTGAGCTGTAGGAACGTGCCCTTAGACTCTGTAGACAGACAGGCTTTCCTATACGTCCCTGGAATACAATTACACCTTCTCCTCTCAGTCCCAAAGCCACTTGGGGTCCCCTAGCCAGCTATTTTAGTGTTTGTACTTGGGCTCTGCTAAGGCATATCTGATGCTCTAAAAGTTTGAATTTGTGTTGCTGTAGCACAGAAAAATATTGACTATCAGAATGAACAACCTCATTTTCTTCAGCTTTGTATGTATTTTCAGCCAGAATAAATATACTACACTTACATTTTCCTGATCCAGACTTCTCACTTTAAGATAACGGAAAACCAGGAATTCATGGTTTGTACCCCAACTATTTCACAATGAATAAAGAGAGCATTATAACAGTATTTGCTCATCCAAGAACCACAAACATTCCCTACTTCTTGTTTTAAAGACTACAATAATTTTTAAATGATCTTGCCATAACCCATTGCTTGTTAATGGTTACATGCATGGTCCTTATCTATTTTTCCACCAATTTATCTAGGCAAAACTTCACATTTAGACTCTTAAAACTGGTAACCATGACGTCATTTTATCATCATACTAATAATAATGTTGTTATTATCACACTGTATGTATAGCTATTAACTAAATGCGTAATGTTGTAGAGCTTTTAACGAAACATTGGATATCTGTTTCCTGAATACAGGCTTGCTTTATGTAACGTTTTAAGAATAAAATGGAAGAACATTGCTAGATCATGTAGGAATAGAAGCGCAAGAAAGTGTCTGCACAATACTCGCATCATTCTACGCAGACAACTATTTAGGACTGTGTGAGAAGTGGCTGCACTGTTAAGAAAGTAACAAGTGAAAACGGTGCCTTGTTGAGATTCATGCTTGGCTAGTTTCTCCTTGTAATCAAACCCCACAGCAGATGGGTCCTGCCTTTCTGTCTGTACACCAAATTTCCCTCCGAAACCACTCTTATAGTCTGAAAAAGCCACATGTAATAAATTAAAATGAAGGGAGGAAAATAAATAAGTTTAGTCAGAGACATTCAAAATCATTTTGCAATATTTTCAATCACCGATAATTTTGGTTGGTGAAAAAAAAAAATCTCAAGACACTTTTGTAAGAGTAAATTCAAAAGAAGTTTCCACCTGAGATTAGCAAGAGATCAATATGATTTATCAGACATAAGAACACCATTCTGAAGTCACAGAAAAAAAGCACTTCTCAGTATTTTTCATACACACTACATAATGCACTTGCATTTGATCAACATTATGAACACAAACACACACATAGTATTTTCATCAAAACAACATACAACAGGATACAAAAGAATAAAATGAGCTTCCTTCACCAGTGTGGTTAACATTTGTACACTAGAGAACTGACTTTTAAAGAGGTGTTAAGATAGGGTCCCACAGAGACTATCCTCCAGATACTCCTACACAGCATTGTTTAAAGAAGGAATATTCCTGCT